GATGCAGACACATAAACAGACTGTCAACAGTCTGCCAAGAGCAGATCTGGTGATTTAAGTCATTTAGGCCAAATTCAATTTAGATCTGCATTAGTTAAGCCAAGAAACAAATCCCATAGATCAGCAATGGCATAAATAAAGCAGACCACACAGTGAAGCATCACGAGGATGATTCTCATGATTCTCTCCTCTTATCTTTTCATATATTGTGTCCCATGTGCAGTATATTAGCTAAGTACACCGTGATACATAGACATGGACAGAAGGGAAGTGGAGAAAAGCACATTATGTCACTTAATCTAATGTTCCTCTTCGGTTTTTCCTACTTCCTTCACCACATTCTCCCCTGCACCAAACTCCATGTTTTGCTCTGTAATCTCTTCCATCAACTGCTGCTTCTGTAAGTAGATTTCTAATCTTTTATTAAGTAATATATGAATTTTCCTGTCTAAAAACCTTGGTTTGGATTTCCCTCGAAGACACAAACTTAACAAACAAGACACTAGTAGATCAGCATTTGTGTTCCAGTTGACTAAAGATGATATTTTTCTCTATGCACTTGATAAAAGATTTATTCTGATAAACTTAATTTTCCACTTGGATAAGGCTGTTTGACGGCATGATAAATTCCAGAAAAACATATTATTGTAAGTAAAACCTTTACTCAAAATACATGTAAAACTTAAAATTTCACCACACAGTGTGCTTGTCTAACAGGTCTTGGGAAGAAGTGAAATATCAGAATAAGACTCGTTAGCCTTCGAAACTAACATTTCAAATGAGAAGAACCAAGTTTTAACGCCAGAAAGAATAACTTTTTGTCATCTACTGTCACTGAGGTGGTATTGCTTGCTATCCAGTATTAGCTGGTTTTGTTGTTTCACAAAGAGACAGGAACATAGTTTAGGTGAGAAGCAAACTATTTCTTGAAAATTACCTTATACAAAATTCACACTAGCAAGTAAGCTGCAATTTGGGAATTTTTTGAATACAAATATAACCACAAGAAATTGACTTGTTTGACATGTAAAACAAAGATTATTTTCTTGCCTAATTGCTAACAGCTAACATTTTAACAGGAAACGTGTTAAAACGAAGCTTATCTACATCAAACATACAGAATCCTTCCAGCAAAGGGCTACATTTACATTACTCTTCAACAACAGCTCAGTTCAAGCAAACATTGTAACTCAATTTTCATCTGTTGTTCTTACCGAGTAGTGTTTTTTACGAGTTTTGTCCACACACTTCCCCTGCAGACAGATGCGTCCTTTCCCACAGGGTGTCCCCTCCACTGCCGGCAACTTCTTGGTCAGACACACCATCTGTCCCTGACGGATCACGGCGCACCACAGTCGGGAACATACGTCCATGCCCGGACAGACCGTGTACTCGGGGCCGAAGGCGAGGCGACACTGGCGCACGGCGTCATAGCTCTGTCCTGGCAGCTCCTCTGAGCCGAGGAGAGGCTGACGAGGAGTATCCAGGAGACACTCAGCTGCCAGAAATAAAAGACAGAAGTTCAGGCTGTGGAGGGGAAATGACAGACTCTTCTCTGAAAATGCAGGAGAAAACTGTGATTAAATATGGTTGAAGAGTTCTGTTAGGAACGTCTTCTTTGAGAAACTTTCACGTCCAGTTGCCTAACAGAACTCTTCAACCACGACCTGGATGACTGAGAATCTTCATAGATGTGATTAAATATATTTAACTTTTTAGAGCTATTAGGACCAAAGACAGTTTAAAAGAAATGGACACTGAGTTTTGTTTCTGAGTAAGAAAAGCATAATTAATTACAAATGTAATTATTATTTACAAAACTTGCTCAATGTTTTATAAAGTAGTAGTTATTAGTGATTGGTTTATTTTTGTATGTGTTTACTTTAACATTTTCTGGTTCAGTTTTAATGGGCTACACAAAATACACTATTTTTTTTTTTTACAAGTGATGCTTTTGTTGTAAATGTTTTTCATTATCCCACTAAAACATCTCACACGCACCATTTCCATCATCAAAGAAGTCAGTGATGGTCGCTGAGGTGCAGCGGCTCCACGGTTTGGAGGCGTCGATGGAGGTGAGGATCGAGGACATTAGGCGTTTGTCGCTGTTCACACCAAAGCGCTCCTCGCAGAACTTGGAGTCATCATGGGACAAACCCAGCAGGTGTCCTGCAGCAGAGACAAGAGACGAGACATGAAATGAAATGAAAGGACAGGACAGGCCTCAGGTTCACACACGCTGCAGGAATTGGAAAGAAAAACAGAGCAGGAGCTCAGGCATCAGGTGTGATGTGATGTCAAACAATCGTGGATATTAACAGTGAGAGACAGAAGTGCTGACAGGGTACAGGTCCTGACTTGTCCGGGTTCGTCCTCAGTATGTTGTTGTGTGTGTTTGTGTGTGTGCACCTCTCTCAGTGACAGTTCTTGCGACACACTTCAGAAGTCTCTGAACACTGAAATTGTTTTTTGTTATTTATTACAACTGTTAATGAGGAAATTATTCTTACTTTGAGATTAAATTATTATGTATTCACAGAATACAATGTTTATATTATTATTATTATTATTATTAATAAAGACATTTCTATGATTTTCAAATGACAGAAACGTACAACAAAGAAACCTTTTATTTTCCAGGGGTCAGCGGGAACAACTTCCTACACCTGCTTTTTTGGAGCAGCAAAAACTAAAGGACAACATCCATGTTGGGACACTCTTTTTGAGCCAGTTTGACTTTTGCTGAAACTGTTGTTCTGTCCTGACTGGATGCTCATTATCTTCTGTATAATGTTGTTGTTGTTGAACCCCTGTTGCGCAGCCATACCTACCTATTTCATGTGCAACAGTAAAGGCAGCATGGAGCCCGTCATCCTCGATGACTGCACAGCTTCTCTCCGGTGTGCAGATGGTGCCCACGTCCGCCATGCCCAGAGTGTCACAGGAGTGGTGGCCACAGAGGTCCTGAACAAGACAGACGTGGTTTAAACCGGTTTGAACATGGAAGAAAACTCACTGTCCTTCACTGTCACAGTTTAAACGCCCAGAAATCACAGCTGCTAGCAAGGGTTAGCAGAGCCAGCTTCCATTATGCATCTTGACTTTCATCATAGTTTCCTGCATATTTACTCCCACATAATATAGATGACCGTCCATCTAAACTGACCCACTGTCAGTGAATTTCCCCCCTTCTTTGTCCTCTGATGCCCACTTCCTTCCTGTTCTTCACAGTCAATGCCAGCATTGATCTTTTTTTTTTTTTTTTTGAATTCCCACACATGTCCATGCAGATGAGGGCCTGGGGTGGGCAGAGTACGCAGATCAATCAGATAATCAGACAATCACATCAGCACACACCACACGAGCCAGCACACGGGTGGAGCCCACGTGCATCAGCAGCCAGTAGTGCAGTGTGAGCGGGAAGGCACAAAGACGAGTGGAAGAATGAGAAAAGAAGGAGGGCACACATGCAAAAAAACAAACAAACACTCACGTCGACACACACACACAGTCCTGCAGAGAGGATGGATTGTCATGTTAAATGGTGCAGACAAGGCCTGCTGGGTTGTGTGTGTGTGTGTGTTTGTGTGTGCGTGTGTGAACTCCTCTGTGTTCTGCGCTCACACACGACCGACTGGGTGGAGGAGCGCTACACGAACATACACATTAGAGTTCACACACAAATGCACATGAATACTGTATGTTTATGTACCATACGCTGTGGGCACATTCCCACACTGCACTTTGATTATTGAAAGTGAAGTTTGGTTGAATGACGTAATGTCTGCAGTGTTTTTGTACAAACATTTTTAGCCACTTAACAAGAGACTCACCTAATAATATCAACGCCTGTCGTGTAGACAATGTCTTCATTGTATCTATTTATCTCATTTTGGCAGTTCTAAAATTGATTTTAGAATTAAAAAAATGTTCACCTTTTGACCAAAGTCCATAGGAAAATCAGACTGTTTTACTAAAGTTCATTTAAAACCTGTTGATGTTCTGTTTCCATTATTTAAAAATGTAGGAATTCAGGGCTCGTTGCATTTAAAACTTTTGCTTGGATTTTCCTCAGTGACACACACTTGCAAGAACAGGTAAAGAAGCCTGCAGCTCCTGCGTGAAAAATACACATCTTTTTTCTATGGACCTTAGTGTAAAATAAAAAATATAAAAGACCCAAAGCTGTCCATACACCCTGCATTACTGAAACATGCTGGACGGTGAGAAACCGTGCTGTTGAACTGAATTCCAACATTTGGTTGATGCCAAATTTGTGGTTTCGCACCACAAGCATCAGGAACGAGTCTGAGACAAGTTTGTTCTTAACAAAATCAGACACTGGCAAATTCTGGCCACAAAACAAAAGGCCTATGTAATAAAAAAATGCAATTACTGTGGCTTTCTCTCCATAGAGAAAATGAACAATGCTATTAAGAAATCCTTGTTCCATCATTCGGACACACAGAGTTGCAAAACTTGCTAAACTTACTGATGAGTTGAGCAGACGGATACGTCGCCACGCTATACAGAAGACGGCTTTGTTTATATTCGGCAGTTGTATGCCATACATTGGATTGTGCAACATTCTTCTGTTTTTCTTTGTGTTGTTTTTTTTATTTTTTCTGAAACTTTGCCCTTCATAATGGCTACCAAGCGTAGGTCAGACTCTTCTGATGTTTTTATGCCCTTGATTGTGATGTTACGACTGTGTTAGTGTAGGTGAGTGACATAGGTACTAATGAACAGTGTGTGAGTTCAGGCCTACAGCAAAGATTGTGCCCTTGTAGTGGAACTCTGACATTTTCCCTGTTTTCGATGTGTTTTAATAGCAAAATAAATCAGAGCAAAATATAATGAGGTATATTAGAGTTGAAATACATCCTTCACAATACAATATCAAACTATAGACTTTGCAGTTATTTGGTTATTTTGCTTTTGTGGTTTCACTTCCACTTTTCTGTTGTCTTTTTTCTTTGTAACCCAAACATGTGGTTCAGCCTGGCAAAAACTTACACCTGAACATATTTTTCTGCTTCTGAAGTGAATTCAGGGAAGGAAAGAAAATACAGAAAACAGACGTCAATGCAGAGCAGAGGCCGGAAATTTAATAGAGGAGCAGAGAGAATGTGAAGTTGCAAAAACATTGGTCCAAATACGAGGAGAGCAGCTGGAGACCTGGTTCTTAAGGTCACAAGGTGATGAGAGCAGGGCCTGAGTGTGTGTGTGTGTGTGTGTGTGAGTGAGTAAAAGGCCGCTTCCAATCAAAGCCATGGTGAGTAGTGTTAAACAAACAGACCTGACACACACACACAGAGTCAGTTCAGCTGAGTCTGTGTGATGAAAACAAGCTGCGGGCAGATTTCATCAAAGCTGCTGATCAGGCAGAACAGAGTGCAGCTTTGTCCCACTGACTGACAGCTCGTCAAAGGATGGGAGACACAGGAATGTCATCGTTTACATCCTTCAATGACTTGTTTTTCGTCCATTAACCTTAAAGAGTTTGCTGTCAGTTTTTTACCAGAGAGGAGCACAGGAAAGAAAAAGAGGTTCAGATTTTCAGGAATTCGACATTTGTTTTCATTTATATAAACAATTAAACAATGATCATAAATGTGCTGATATTGCTATATATACTATAGATATATATACATATCATACAATCACATATTGTTATTATTATAGTCACATCATTACAACAAATGTGTTCAGGCCAAGGACCCTCAAACAACACCCTGCTGTATGTTTTTACTGTAACAATGAATAATTTAAATGTAATAACGTTATTGTTTGTTTGTTTATCTATCAGTGTCTGCTGTCCGTGTCAGAATCTTTGAGTCACATAACAGAATGCCTAATAATTGTGATTGGCCAGTAAACTCAGGTGACCCACAGGGACAATGCAGTTATCTACTACTACTATACTATGTTTTGTATTAAACTGGGCCTTGCACCAAGTATAATCAAAGTTTTTTAAAAACAAAATTATGCTCTTCAAATAATGCATACTTATGTTGTAAAGTTCTTTGTTTTTTTAAAGAAAGTCACACCGCAGTATGTTCTGGTGCCATAGATCCCCTGTTGAAGACCACTACTTTAAAGGACAGTCTGAGACACATGTTTGGAACCAAAATTAGCTCAGTAACATTTTAATTGATATAAGAAATGTAGTAAACAATTACATTAGTCTGTGCTGGGGGAGTTTACAGTTTATAATTTACTTTCAAAACGGTGGCCTTAAGCTCATTACCACCTTTGAAAACAACATGTTATCGAAGGAAACACTGTTTAGGTGATAGCTAATATGTAGCATATGCTACATGTATTTTTACATTTTGTATTTATCCCTGGACCGACACATGAAGCAGCTCAGGGTCAGTGCTCATTGACACCTGAGACCCTGACAGGAAGAGAGGAACCTTAGCTCCAGATGCTGGTGGGTATCAGGTGTCATCACGGGGCAAAGTGAACTCTGTGGCCCAGAGTGTATGCTGTATGTCCACACAAAACCTAGACTGAAGAGAGTGTGTGTAGGGGGGTCTGGATTCAGAGCCATCTGCAGGTTGTCAACATCTGCCAGACGACGTATCACACGTGTGAAATGTCGAGACCATTTAAAACAAACACTGGGATAAGCTGTGGTGAAGGCGAGAGCTGGGAAATGTACACGCTAACGTTGACCAACAGGTCCATCCTAACATGACATGTCTTTATGGTGTTGTTGTGATGTATTTAGGCTGTAGACTAAAACCTGACTCTCTGCTGACATTATTTAGTTTTCCTTCAGCAGTCAGCAGATAAAACAGCAGATAAATGATAGAATTGTTGTTTTTTATAGGCTGACTCTGCAGCATTTTAATGCTGTTTATAAACAAATGGCATGTAGATCTAACTTCTACCCTGCAGGGGTAAAAATAAATAGATCAAAACAAACCTCAAATGATGCCAACTTCAGGGGCTGCTATAAATATAAATAGATCAAAACAAACCTCAAATGGGTTTAAAAAAAATCACACATTTGGATATGTTAAAACTACAATCTCCACCTGAAAATTGCAAATAAAAGTTTTTTTTAGAGATTTAAAACCTTTGTGGTTTTGATTGAAGTGCCAAAGTCATGTGACATGTAAAAATAATAATAAGAATATTTTAACTGGTGCATTCATTGACCACATACAGTAAAAATGCGAGTGTATCACTTCATTCACTATCTATCTAGTGGTAAAAAGCTGTCCTTCAAATTTGGTGAGTATACGTTTTCTAAAATGAGCTCAACAGCAGCATGTTCACTATGTCTGCATATCCATCCAACACAGCAGAGAAAACATTGACTGTCCCTTTAACTGACACAGGGTGAAAACATTTCTGACAGGCAGCTTTTCAACAATCTGTGACCACCTGACAGTAATGTGTTGTCCACTGTCTGAGCTCCCAACAAATGGACACAGCCATGAATGTCCTTAATGATCCCATGTACAGATAAGCAGGAGCCCCCCGCCCCATCAATCCAGCCTCAATGTGCCTGTTGTTCTGCTCTGGTGCTGGTATGTGCGGAACCGGGTGTCACTGCCACACGGGTCAGCTCACTGCGGGTACACAGAGAGGCGGAGTCAAAGTAATTGGATCCGTCCACAAAGAGAAAGGTTCCCTTCAGCCACCCGCTCTAATGTGGCCTGACTTCACAGTCACCATGTCTTCAATGAGCTTCAGTTCTAGTTCAGCAGACGACAATAATCACTCTTATTTACTCCAGAAAATACAAAGAGGAGAGGAGGCCTCACACATCTGTTTGGTCACCCCTGACATTCAACACAATGGGAAACCAAGCACAGAGTCTCCTGTTACACATGAGAACTGAATGTGGTCCACCGCTAAGTTCATCCCTGTTGGGTGACTCTCCAGTTGGGCTGCAATTGATGTTATTTTTCCTGATAAAGTCATCCAAATCCTGCACTTCACACTCC